ATACTATGTGTGTGTGTGTGTGTGTGTGTGTGTGTGTGTGTGTGTGTGTGTGTGTGTTATACTATGGGACCACAAGCAGAATTTTCTATTTTCATGCTTCCAACCTGATTATTAAAATAATATTCATATCGATATATATTTTGTACTTTAACTTTTAAGTTAACAGTTTAAGGTCAGTTCTAAGTTTTGTTTTCGGATTTTTTTTTATCTTCACGAGAGGAATTTCTTCAATGAGTTATCCTCAATTTTATTCTGGCACATATTTTAGTGGTCATTGTCATTTCAGCTTTCATTTATTGAGTTCTGCTTTTCAGTCTCTTTATTTTATTAACACAGTAAACGGTACTAGTACTAGTATTTATGCAAAATAAAGTTCAAACATGAAAACAGAAACTAGTTGTTTGTAGTTAGGATTGTATAATTTGTTTAAATAAGAGGTTTAACAATATCATATATGTATATATTTATACAAATTTCAGTACATCTTATAATTCAAAACCCAAACAACCTCTAACTTATAAGTATAACATACGATAATTGATTTAACGCTTAAGCCGTAATATTAACATAATTAAGGCTATTTCCTTTACACAATTTCAAGATCAAGATGTATTAACTTACCCCCAACACATCCTGCAATGAAATCCAAAGCCATACTATTGTATGCTGGCTATTTCAATCAAAATTAGTAAATAAAAAAATAACCTGAACAAAACTATTTACTTCAAGTTCAATTCAAATTCTATGAACTATTACGAAAGAGTTATATTCTCTATAAGTACAAGTATAACGGCTGCTTTAAACGTCTTATTAGAATAACAGAAGTAACGGTATTTTGAACAGTTAATCTGAATTTCAGTGACATTTGTACGAAGTAACGTCCCTTGAGAACTGGAGCCTACAGAGTTAATGACCCAAATTGTAGTTGGGGGATGAAGCAACCTTTATCTTCACAGTCATTCTAAAGTAAGTGATGAAATTGTGCAACATTGCCCCAGCGCATAATAATGCCATCCTCGCACCAGCTGTCGATCCAGTCTCAACTGCGCTACGCGGAGTAAGTTGATGACGTAGGGGGTAGCTTAGTTCCGCGTCGTAATACACATTTGGCGTTTCACTCTTTTTCGTGAAATCGTTTAATCAATTTTCTGAAAACCCTAAATACGTATGATTGTCTTTAAATATTGAATTTTCATTAAAATGCAATTCACCATAAATAATATCCACATAAACGTTTTAACATGAAATTATCAACTACGGATTACTTCACGACACTAATTGGTTATCACCACAACAAATGAACGTCTCGGAAAATGACGCAGCGGGTCTGTAAAAAGAGGAATTATGTAAATCACAAGTGCAAAGAAAAGGGTTAGTTCTATCACGTGATTATATTAGTTTGAGCTCAAAATCTTATACATAAATATAATAATATAAGTAATAATAAAACTGTATTGCTTATTTACGTATATTGTACTAGCTGGATACATGAGATATTACAACAAAATTAAAAGATACCCATAAATGTAAGAAAGGAAAACTCTTATAAACCCTTTTTCAGGTTCATCTCAAATATGACATTTGTGTTCATTTTGTCAGACTTGAAATGTCAAATTACATTTATTCGCTAAGTAATACCAACAAACTATGCAGTGGTAAGTCTACGGATTTACAACGCTAAAATCAGGGGTTCGATTCCCCTCGATGGACATGGCAAGATAGTTCGATGTGGCTTTGCTATGAAAAAAAAAACACACAACAATTATAAATAGGTGGTAGACAGATATCAAAGCAGGTAAATCAAAGATGTTTTCACATCAACTTACCATATAGCTATTTATTACAATAACTGTAGATGTTTCTACACGGTTTATATATATATTGTTGCGTCATCGAGATACACGTGACAATTCTCACGCTCTCTTGTTTCTAGAACTATCCCGTATCTTGGCGAATGGTCTAGTATTTACTAGTAGGGTAG